GATACCGCAGGTCAAGTTTCATGAAACCACAGCTTACAAGAGGTTTTGTAAATCGAAACATAGCAGGAGACAGAAACAATGGAGATTAAGACAGGGAGTGAGTTAGACAGAGCTGGTAGAAACTAACTATCCTGTTTCACAAAAATAACACATTGACCTATAACAGGGGAGCATTATTGAATTCTGCCTGTGTTTACATCTCACTACTGACATCTCATGATCAATACATCACACCAACATGTAGTATCTGGAAAGAAGCAATCACACATACGCATGTATGCAACGACTTGTTCAACTGTGGCTTATTTCTACCTCTGCTGTAAAAGCCCCGCAGCCTTGACAGAGAGAAAAAATTGAGAGAGTAGGAAAGAGACAAAAAGCCTAAGACAGGAGGATCCTTTTACTGAGATATGGATATTCAATAAAAAGTGCTGAAAGGCTATTAAATCCAATTATCTTAAGCAAGCTGTGTCGAGAATGAGTACGAGTCCTTATCACTGATATGTCTGGAGACAGCCGTACGTCCTTTTCTGTTAGCGCTCCTTAGTGTCAATGATGAAACCATTGATCCTCAGTCATATTTTGGGGCTTCATCCTGGCCACCTACATTTAAATACCATCCATGTTAAGATGAAAATCTAACGCACTTCTTTTAGACAACAACACTTGAAAAAGGCTTCATTTATGCTGTAGCTCTCTAAGTACTTTCCAATGTAATTACCGATCAGCAAAGAAATATTTCAAATCATTCATAAATCATTTCATTATCATTTATTTTCAATCATCCTCAAAGGCAAACGATTGAGCTCGTCCAAGGCTGAACAAGTTGAAGCCATTAGCTGAGACTGAATGGCAGCATATGGTTGAAGGGCGTCTATCCACAGAGAGAGAACTCTATTAACACTTGACACAATAACCACAACTCTCTCTCCATCTCATCAACCGGCTGTGGACAACAGAAGAGTCTTTATCCATCATAACTGGATGAATAAATACATAAGGGCTGTTGTTTTAACCCACTGAAGTCCATTATGTGTTGTTTTTTATGTTTTTAAACCAGTGGAGAATCAATCAATCATGTGGCCTATCAATATAATTGCAACAATAATATCATAAAAAAGCACAGCTGCCAGCTGCAAGGGTTCTATTTAGCAGCAGAGATGGGATTTGTTGTAGTCCATTATCAGGTTTAAAAGACCATAACCAGGTTTTATGCATCCTATTTATTATCTTCATCTCGACTCTCTTCACGCTTGGCTTGTTAATGTGTTAGTGCCTCGTTGGTAAAGATATGGGATAAAGATTGGACAGAGGCTGTAATGATACTAACACATGATATGGTCTTCAGCTGGACTGGCTTTACTATGCAAAGTACTAGTTAGGACGGCCAATTTAACCTAAGGGTGGTGAAACTTAGTGGCACCAAAGTCAGTAGGAGGCATCCTTTGGGGAGCATGAATGTCTGTACCAAATTTCACAGAAATCCATTTGAGAAGTTTCACTAAAACTCAGAAATATTGATGTCAAGAGGAAAAAAATCAGGCATGCACCTCCAGGTTGAGAAACTCTGCCCTGACAAACCACACTAAAATACAATCATTTTAGAGGCTTACACACAAACAACAACAACCACACACACTGAGCTGTCAGGCGAAGCATCGCTCAGTATTCTGATGAACACTCACTGGTCTCTGCTCTATCACTCTCACTTCAATGCTACATAATAGAGGCCAGGTCATTCATTAGCCTCCTTTAAACCGTCGATTGGAGGAAGAAAGGAAAGAGTGAGAGAGTGTGAGTCCGAATGGGAGAGAGAGAGACACGCAGCCTGTCTCAAAGTTAGAACTGATAGGCCACTAAAGCCTTTTTATGCCACCATGATTTAAAGCCGAGCCGTTCTTTCACTGCTGGTAGTTAAGTGGGAAATAAAGTCTGCTTAATCTTCTACTTAATCTTACACTCGCAACCTTCCACATGTCAAAACACACTCACACAAAACCATACACTGCTTTGGATGACATTTTTATTGCATGTTTGATATGTATATGCCCATTATGCCAGGAGTGTCTCATTCTCCTGCCTGTCTTTTTCATTCTTTAACATCTTTCTTTGTGTAACCCTTTTATACATGTTTTATTTTTACTTGCGTCTTGTCTCTTCTTTTTCTTCTTCTATCTTCCTTACACAATGTTTTAGGATCTGAAATGATTTCTATTTGCTGCAAACAAACAGTGGACCATACATTGTAGATCATTCTGTCAGAAAGATCTTCATTTATTATTTATAGGCACAAACAAGTAAGAAAATATTTGAACATAACCATTTGGGTTATTAATCTTGCTGACAGAATTGTATTTTATATGGAATATTGTTTTCATTTGATCATGTTATTTTAGATATTGGTGTTGTTTTATTTAAAGCTGCATAAAGTGCAGTGTGTAACATTTAGGATCTGTTGGTGGTTGGACAGGGCCTTTCATGTTTTATGACAGTTTTGCTGCCACCATAATTTCTCCTACATGCTCGGAAGATGAGTAGTATATATATATATATAGTATCTTCACCACTAGATATCACTAAATCCTACACACTGGTGTGAAAGGGAGATAATAAACACACAACACTGAATTTCCCCACTGCTTTCCATCTGAGCCTAGTGTCTATCAGCTCATTGTTTGGGTTTTCTAATTAAAATTTTCTAATTTTATTTGTATAGCGCCAAGTCATAAGAGAAATTATCTCAGGACACTTTTCAAATAGAGCAGGTTTAGGCTGTACTCCCTATAAAATTATTTACAGACACCCAACAGTTTTACAGCTTGCAACTTTACCCACGCTGGCTTCACTCTTACCCCGCGCTGTTACATCAGTTGTCACTTTCAGAAAAAAAAAAAAACTCTGATAGAACCCACTGCACACGACCTGCCCGGCACCGAACAGCACGCAGACAAAGTTTAAAACTAGCTGCTGAAGAAAGTGCAACAAACACTTGAGCAGAACAAAATAATAAAAAAAGGACTTTGACTTTAAATACTGCTCATGCTGCTCTGTGTCTGCTGGCTGAGTAAACAGGCTGCTTGCTAACAAGTTTATATGGTTGTAGGGAATATGGCAAGTGGCCAAATAGATCCGTCACACTTTAGCCAAATAAACTTTTGTTTACTTAGTTAACTTTATTTTGCTGTGTATTCGGAGCTCTGCCTTCTGTCATTCACCAGACACCCACATGCAAAAATGACTCCACCAGAAATAAACTCCTCAAAACAAACTGTCCAACAAACTTTCTATTCTCATTTGAGCAACCATGCAGTAGCAGCGTAAAATATATTTTTAACAATTATGACAAGTATGTAAATGTTCTGAAAAATTATCCAGATGTAGACAGTAATAAATGAGTTGTAAATGTAAAACATAATGATCTCCATTAAAAATATTTTTTCCCCAATCGTCTCTCTGTTACCGCTGCGCACACACACACACACAGACCGGTCTCCAGCTTAATGGCCTCAGGGCTGTAGTTGCCCCGGAGAATTTTGGTATGCGTCACTTTCCATTTTGTTTTCCGAACAGAATGTGTGTGTCAGTGTGTGTGTGTGTCATTGTCGGTCTGTCTGTAAGAGATAATGAGGCAGTGTGTGCTTCGCTCGGGCTAACCCCTGGACTACACCATCACATTCTGCGAACTGGCAGCTAAAGCGGAAAACTGGGAGCACATTTCCTAACTGTGTCACATTGCTGGACTCGGTTCGGACTTTCTCTGCACAGCTAAGTTCTGCAGCAACACGTCCATCCCAAACGGGGTTTCAACATGTACCTCAAACCTCAACAATGACGAGCCTATAGTGCCAGGAGAAATTATTGCTGGCCGACCGCCGTGTGTCTCTTTATTGGAGGTTGCCAGGATGTGACGCAGACAGATTTAAGGAGGAGGCATTGCTTTAAACACTACAGACTAACAGACTGTGAAAATATTGGAAATGAAACACTTAGCGGCTGCCTTTTTCCATCTTGCCATTATACAGAAACAAAGTTTGATGATGATTGCAATTCATGCTAAATTCATTTACTAACATAATATAAAATCAAAACAAACACAGAAGTCAATTGTTTTTCTTCTCACACCTCTGGCAGTCTATTTCTTTATCTTCTGCGTATCAGTAAATTTGGCAAATCTAATTTGGTTTACCAGTTCACGGTTCAGGTAGCGATGATGTTTTCATTTTATTTTCTAATAAAATGAAATATAACCCGTTCTTATGTCAACAAAGACCTAATGTTAGTGATGTAATAATTCAGTTTCTGTCTTGAACACAAGAGCAGTGTAGCTGCTCCTCTCCAATGCACTAGCATGACAAAAATGGACATCAGTCCTTATTTCTCTAAAAATGTTCGAAGCTTCACTTCATTTAAAACGTTGTACAAATAGTGTGCTTGAAAATGCTAAAACACACACACAATTCAATTCACACTCAAGTTTTAAACAGGGTAGTTAGAGAACACATGAAAGGTACCCAGTACAATCACAGTCTGAGCTGCAGGCTACTGAGCAACTGCACTCCAGCAGGTTGCCATTAAGTGCCTTGCTCAAGGACACCTCACATACTTATAGATGGGATGTACATATAAGTCACCATGTCACATAATTCATTAGACTGCATCCAGAAGATGTTAAAAGAGTTTTAATCAATGACATTCTGAATTAAACACATAGTTTTTTCCAGAGCCGATGATGGAAAAAGCTGGAGAGAGAGTTACACATGCAGAGTACTGATTGGGCAGAAGGGACAGATCAGGCACAGACAACCCAATTCAGTGTGCCCAAACATATTTACTGTGAGGGAAACATTCTCCATAGTCTGTTGGGTTGCAGCTGTCCTGGTTCACACTGCCAGTACAGCTTAAAACAGAGCACCCCACTCTCAAGCATATACCGTAACGACTTCTCTTACTTGAACTTAAAAGGTGAAAGCTTTAAAAAGAGGAGGGGCCGTCTTTCTTACCTTCTTCTTGGACTTGAAGACGTTGCAGCGGAAGACATTACTCTGTCCATCTCTGGCGATGTAGCTGAAAATCTTCAGATCCTGGGAGTCATGAGATACATAGAATATCCTGAAAGATAGGATAAAATAGGTCAGAAATTAAAAAAAAAAATATCTTAATAGGATGCAAAACAGAATCAGAGCCTGGCAGCGTTTCTAAATGTATCTTAAGACGCAAAATAGGCACCCAGCCCGTTTCTCTGGGGGTTTCAGTGTGACAAAAATAAACACTATTTTAAGCTTGTTTTAATCCAAAGGCAAGACACCAAATTTTTGCTCTCAAGCTAAAGAGTGGGGTAAAGAAAGTTGTGATTAGATTAGAAATTAACTGCAAGGAACAGACTTCCTCAGAGATATCTATGTGACTTTGAGAGAGGAAGCTCATAGACACACATTGAAAGCGAGGTAAATTTAATTTAAAGTTTTTAAAAAAATACCTCAAGTGACAGCAGTGTTACATTCCAGTGTGAGGAGGAGACAGGGGAGGTTAATACTATTACAACTAAAAATATCCTGTGTGAAAAAGGATGCATGGGGAATTAAGTTTGAGACAATAATAGAGTTCTCTTGGTAGGGAGAGACTGTGCAACCAACAGTGAAGCTACAAACAATATCCTGCAGAGCAGGTAAATAGGAAGAAATAAGTTTGGGACCAAAAGGGAGAGCAAAAGAGATAGCACACATAACGCGCAAGAGGGAGAACATTGTATGAGTTAAGCTCCACACTGGATCTAATTTATGATGACAAAAGAACACGACTGGGGAGATAAAGCACTGCAGATGACAATATGGTGAAAAGACTGAAAGCAAGAAGCTGGAAATTGTCGTGTTCAGAGTCCAAGTGGGAGTGGATGGGATTTGTTTCTGTTTCTCGACTAACGTATGTACAAAGAAATCAAAACTTTACTTAATAATCTACACTGTAGAAGACATTACTTATACAGTATCTGGTGACCCCAGCTCTTTGATTTTATCCAGAAATCAGCTGTGTGTGTGGGCATTGCCTTTCCATGTCCAGAAAAAAAGGAACAGCTTCACAATACAAGCGAACACACAGCTACCAGTTTGAAGAAGTTTCTAAAATCTACATAGCAATGAGCTTCACGCTTGATTCACGCTCACATGTTTTGGCTGTAACCTGAAAATGTTCATTAGAGCATAACGAACAACCTTATTACTATGAAGATTGTGCCCCCTTTTTGCTTTTTTCAAGATTATTATGATGAAAGATAAAGCCTTTTGCTGACCTTACAAGAGATGCAGACTTCATTAATAAAAATATTTTTTAAAAGAGCAACTGAATGGGCAAAAAGGCAAAAAGGAAGCTCTCTAATATAAAAGAAATATTCCTAAATCATTATTACAACCTTTTATCAGTAGCCTATACTCAGACCAAAATAGCCTCCTCCATGCTTTACATGTTACAGCTGTGACCTGGAAGGCTTCATCCAATCAAAAATTGCTTTTTTTTTTTCAAGATTATTATTGTAAAACAAGACTTGCAAGCTTTAACAGTACAAGCCCTGTTAGTGATTGCGTTCTACATACTTTGCATAAAGAATGTTAACTTAATATCTAACGTAATGAATAAACTATTAGAGTCTTTACCATAAACCTATGCACAGAATCTGATGCAAGATGTTCTGAAGATGAACTTCAGCATGCTCAAAGTAGCCTCATTTATGCGTAAATGATTTGGCTGTGGCCTGAAAATCTTCACTAGAGCACAATAAGTTCATCATTATCCAGATTACGGCTGGATTTTGAAGGTTAATGAATGGATGCCTCTCTAAAGCCAGTTGTTGGTCTTGCTTAATACATTAAACTTGAAATATCAACTGGTTGTAGGAAGTACCAGAAACCTCAGGCAGAACAGCTCCTAATTGGGCAATTAGCGCCTTAATTAAGCAGCCTGGTTGTATATTTGGGGTAATTTATCACAGTGAGACAATAGACAACCAGGCAAGAGCAAGAAATTAGGTGAAAATTATGCAAATGACCCTGTTGTTTCTGTTTAAAATGTATGTCTGGGTGTGTTTCCAAGCATATTGGTTTTGTGTGTATGTGCATATTTTTGTGTTTTGTACTAGAAATCAGGGGTCTTATCTATACAGTCTGACATTTCTGTGGTATTTGTTTTGGCCTTTTCTCTGGGAGCCAAACTAGCTGAGGTCTTGTGGTATGGATGGTGTCTTTGTCAACTCTGCTTAGCAGACTGTCAAAATACCAGGCACAGCTATCTGCAGTGACTCATTCTCTCTCTCTCTCTCTCTCTCTAACTTGATCCAGGAAATCTGTCTGAAAACTGTGACGATGTTAACATGGACGGCTTATCCTAGTTCTGATCTAACCTGTTAGTTGTTGTTTACAACCGGTTGCCTGACTGCTTGGGTTTCTTGCCTCGTTGATCCAAATAACATCCATGTTGCTGTGTTCCCAGATCTCAGGGACTGCTCTGTGATATCATAACTAATAGGCCCAAAGACCAGAGCTATGCAAACAGAACCCAGGTTGTAATAAACCGTAGTCTTCCTTTAAGAGGTGTGATAACATCTATTTCATCCATTCAATTTTCAAACAATGTTTTGGTAAAGGTAGCAAAACTTTTAAGTTAATATGTCTAGCTTCACAGTAACTGTCACTGTCCATACACTAAACAGTAGTTTGACACATCCCTGTTTGCTTGCCACAGCTAATGAGCGTTTCAGAGCAGAAAATGTTGTGGATGCTGCTGTGACAATACACTTTACAGAGTATCTGCTGGAAATAAGGCAACATTATACACAAGAGACTACAGTAGCACTGTAAATTCAGGCAAGGTCGGTCAGTTTAATGAGGGTCGCAGAAGCATTTATGTACGTGTCCATGTCACCAAACAGAGTCTCTATTATCGAGCTGTGTTATCTACAGTACTGGCAGAAAACTGACCGCTCCCATCCGGCTGCACTTTGCAGAGACCTTGTAGTTGTCTCCCCTTTCAACTCTTTCTTTGCGCTCCCTTCAACCCCAACCCTAAGTCACTGTGATAAAAATCAGTATGTCCCGACAGACTTCTTTTTTTAAAGCATGGGAAAGGGTCTTATGTTCTGCCAGTTGTCACCTACGGAGAATCCTATTGAAAAATTGCAGACAAGTGAAGCTCAGCCAAGAGTGAGTAAAAATGGGCTTAGCTGACTGGCTTATGTGACAAATCCCCAAGTAGAGCAGAGATGACGACTCAGATACATCTCTATCAAGTGTCTCGTACAGGAACAGCTGCCAAACATTCAGGTGAAGATGCGTCAGATCGGATCTCGGAGTAAGAGAGGCAGGCTCGACATGAAAGCAGTCAAAGATGGTTAACGGCTATATAAATCGACTACAAATACTGCCTATGGAAAAAACCTCTTATGTTGTATTTAAAAAGGGCTGCTTTTCTTGTTTCAAGTTACAAAAATCCATATTTTCACACGAATGAATGTCACTTTTCTTTGTCAATGTGTGAATCAACACAGTAGCAGTGTCACAGAAACAATACTGTACTAAGTACTAAGAAATGTGCTCGTAGGAGTTTGAAGACTTTTCCATTTTCAATCCCTCAAAGCTGGGAAGCAATTGTTTCATCTGCTGGCAGAAAGCAATGACACAGCAGGTAGGCTGATCCCAACACAGATATTTAGACAAACAGCACCATGGTCAGAACAGGAAAGAATAGTGCAAGGAGTCAAACATGACATAACTTTTCTGCCCAATAAAAAATATTTACACACTCTGTAGCCCCGGTGATCAATATTAATCAATTTTAATTTTAGATTATCTAGATAATCAGAGACATTTGGAGGACAAATCTAAAAATGAGATAGGAATTAAATTCAACCTACACTTCGTCTCTTGGAAAGGTACATCAGTGCCTCAGAATCAAAATGTCTTGACTCAATATTTAACACCCATACAGGGAGAAAGCAATTAAGGAAGTTTCTCCAGCAGAAGGTGAATCAATAGACCAGAATGCAATGTGTGATACATGGATAGACACTGGAGCCACCCTATTATTTAATCATGTTATCACATTGTGGAGACATAATGAATACAGTGATATTTTCTGTAGCTTTTGATAACTCGGTTTGTAGCTACCATTATGGACGCTGAGGTCGAATTGCCTGTACTAGGGGCAGTTTACAAGCTACAGTTAACAGCCAATACTTTAAGGGGGGATTCCAGTATAGCTAACACACTTATTTGCTACAAAAAGTAAAAATAACCTTATCAGAATTGTATTTTTGGAAATCCTCTTGTGGAGAAATTATGCTTTAGATATTCATGATGCACATTGTATAGGCTATAGGCTTTCTTAAATCAAGTTTTTAAATGTTGTATGGTTATTTAGAATCATTAATTTTACAGTTATATTAATTGTTCAAACTTTACCCTCATCTGTGGCAGTTTATTATTCAGTGATAAAATGTCTTGACTCAGGTTTTTTTCTTGTTTTTATTCAAAGATTCTTTCAAGGAGGTTCCTTTAAAGGAAAAAAAATCTTATTGAAATCCTAAAAAAGAAGCCATCAGAGCAATTCTGCCATAAAGACGGGCAAATGGCACCTAGATTTAATTTATTGTTAGTGATAAGAGACCATATGGAAAAGGCTGCAGACTTTAGCGCATGAGGCCGAGACAGAAAGAGCAAAAGACTGATTGAAAGCCCAGAGAGTGTTAGTGAAATGCAGGGATGGACACTCAAAGTAAATGAGAAGATGGAGAGAGGCAGGAAAGGGAGCGTGTGAAGGATTACGAGTGAATGGCTAGATGGAGAGAGAAAAGGGTGAGACGGAGACCGTGCATGAATAAGGAGCTGAGAGGGGATTGAGACAGTTGAGTAGATGATTCAAGACTCATCCGGTGACTTAAAGTTCAGCGGTGCATTACAAGTTTAACAAAAACTCCTGTTCCTTCACATTTAACCTGCCGCGGTCTCGTCTCCATCAGCAAAATGTAACCGGGAAAAGCTTCTGTTTAGAGACCGCACGGGTTCCACATGCACAAACAAACACACGTGAAACCCAGCTATTAGCCCTGGTGTTCATTAACTTTT